TGTACGTATATTTTTTTGGGAGAAAATGGAAAAATGGAAATTTAATAAAAAAAAAAAAATTATGCAAAGAACAATGTAGACAAATTGGTTAAAACAAAATTTCTTTTAGTTAAAGGTCAAGAGGTCAAATAAAAAAAAATTAATAATAAACGGTTTGCCGACGGCTTTTTTTATTTCTGAATACGGTCCTGAAATTTTTTTCTTTCCATTTAAAAAAAAAAAAAAATAAAGGGAAATATTTTTAATTTCTTCTGCTTTTTTTTTACTTGAATAAATGGTTTTAATTTAATAATAATAATAATAATAATAATAATAATAATAATAATAATAATAATAATAATAATAATATTAATAATAATAATAATAATAATAATAATAATAATAATAATAATAATAATAATAATAAAACGCAAAGAGAATCGTTTAAAAATTTCAAAATAAAAAAAAAGCAGAAGATGCGAAGTGAAAAAAAAAAAATTAAAGAAGGTAAAGAAAAAAAGAAAAAAAAATTCACGTGTAAACCGAGTTTTCTAGAATTCTCTCGGGGAATAATTTTTAATTTCTTATATATATATAAATATTTTTTTTTCCTTCCCCTCCTTTTTCATAAAAACGAAATTTTCACTTTTCTTTTTTCTTCGGGGGGGGGACGAACGGGGAAGGGGGGCAAACGGTTTTTTTTTTATTATTAAAAATGAAAGCAAAGAGAAAAAAAAAAAAAATTTTTTTTACGGTAAAAGAAACGTGTAAACAACGAGTGAGAGAGAAAGAGAGAGAAGGAAAAAAACGACGTTTTAATTAATTTAAAACATTTGAATTTTGCTATCGTTAATCTTTTGCTTTAATTTTCGTTTCGAAATCCGTTTGGAGGAGGGGTGAGAGGGAGGAAGGGAGTGAGGGAAAAAAACTAAAAAAAAATAAAAAAGTGATTTTTGTAAAACTTTCGAACGGTGGCAAAATTTTTTTTTTTTTTTTTTGCTCTCGTTCAGACGAGGTGACAATAAAATTTTATTTGGTAAAAAAAAAAAAAAAACGAAAAAAAAAGTTAAAAAGTTTTTCCCTCGTTTGTTCGATTTCAACTTTTCACGCTGGTTATAAAAAAAACTTTTTTTTTTCGTTTTTTTTTTTGCCTTGTTTATTTGTTTGTTTGTTTGTTTGTTGTTTTGGGTTTCGGGATAAAACAAAATAAAATAAAATAAAATAAAAAATCGCATCATCGGTTTCGTTTTCGATAATAATAATAATAATAATAATAATAAATTCGAATAATTCTTAAATTTCGATTCGAAATAACTTTTTTTTTTCTTTCTCTTTTTCGGACGTTTTTTATTTTTTAATTCCAATTTAAAAATAATAAAAATCAATTCAATGGAAAAAAAAACCTTATTTTCCTCCCCTTACTTCCCCCTCCTCCTCCCACCCTTCCCGGAAAATAAAAAAAAAATTTTAATTAAATTAATGAAAAAAAAAATTTTTTTTTTATTTTTGAAAATTTTACATTCTAATATAGAAAACGTTTAACGTTCATACCTTCGTACTAAACACTCCGATAATAATAATAATAATAATTTATTATTTGCTACGACAAACCGACCGTGTAGAGCAAATAAAAAAAGTAATTTTTTTTTTTTTACGTTTTTACATATGAAATTTCATTCCATACGAGAAGTTATTTTATCGGTAGCAAATAAATAAATAAATAAATAAATTTGTTTTTTTTTTTTCTTTTTCGATTTGAAAAATTCAATTTGAATTTTTTTTTTTTTGCTATCGTATATTGTGGCACGCACGCACGCATGCACGTGTTTGAGTGCGTGCGTACGTGCGTGCGTGAATGCGTGTTCCGTAATTGAAAAATTCAAAAAGCGTGAAAATTATTTAAAATATTGAATATATATATACTACTAGTAGTATCGAAATGACCGCAAATATTTTGGTTTGTCACATTTTAAATAATAAATCATAAAATAAAAAAAAAATCCGTTCGATGTTTAAAAAAAAAAAACGACTCCAGGTGATACAATGCTGGAATGGGAGAGAGAGAGAGAGGGGGGGGGGGAAAAGGGAGGAAAGAGAAAAGGGAGAGGAAAAAAGGATTATTGGAAAAAAAAATTATTTATTTTGCATAAACGTGATTTGTAGGAAATATTTTTAATATTTTTTACGTTGAAGGGGTAGGGCGGCGGTGAGAGTGATGGGGAGACAGGGGGGTTGTAATAAATTTAAAAAAAATTAAAAGAAAAAACTTACCACTTCCAGGTACGTATAAATTTAAATAAAGGCAATCCTCGCTTTGATTTTTCAACAGCGGCAATAGTTTTCGTAATTGAAGGTATCGTCCACGTGGCATTTTTAAAAATGCCATCGTTTTGTTCGTTATATCCGGTACGTTTTGCGGGCAAACGGGAGGAAACGTATCCGCTAATTTTGTACCCGTCCATGGTATTGGAGGACGTGGGGGCATGAATCTCCTTTCTCCGACGGGTGGTGCCGCGTATGGGATTCCCCGAAAAACTTCGACGGGTTCCAACAATTTTGAATTTAATTCCGATATTATTCCTCTTATGGGACCCGATTTCGTATCTACGATTCTCGAACTGTATCTCGGACCCGCAACTGCGCTCACTACGGTCAATGTTAATAATGTTATCGCATTTAACGTTGAAGCTTTTAACCTTAGCAAACATGACTGCATGATTATCCGCAAATGCGGAACATTACGTTTTATTTTTAATAATAATGATAATAATTTCACTTTTTTTTTTTTTTTTAAATTTAATCCCGCGAAACCCGAGAAAAAAATAATAATAAAAATTTTTTTATTTTATTTTATTCTTTTTATTATTATCATCATCATCATCATCATTCGAAAATCGATTTAATCGACCGGAAATGCCGTTCACCGTTTTCATTTTTAACTTTTTCACTTCCCTCTCCTCTCCCCTTCCCCCCCGTTCCGAGAACAAAAAAAAAATTAAATTAAAGCATTTATGAAATTTTTTTCACTCTCGTAAAAAAAAAAAAAATTTTTTTTTTTCGTTGTACGTTGTAGTAATTTCCTGTCAATTTTTTCCTTTCGATACATTTTCTTCATCTGTTTCCGGTTCATGATTTTTTGTTTAAAAAAAAAAATTTTTTTCCCCTCTCCTAAAAGAATAATAATACCTGAAACAAACAATAAAAAACAAAAAAAATTTTTTTAACACGTTTTACATTTCAAACGATTCTAATAATAATAATAATAATAATAATAATAATAATAATAATAAATAATGATAATAATAATAATAATAATAATAATAATAATAATAATAATAATAATAATAATAATAATAATAATAATAAATAATGATAATAATAATAATAATAATAATAATAATAATAATAATAATAATAATAATAATAATAATAATAATTTTTCATAGTGGTAAAAGATTTATTTATTTTTTTTCCGTGGAGTTAGATAGAAAGAAAGAGAGAAAAGAAAGATGGAAGGAAGAAAGAAAGGAAGGAAGGAAGGAAGGAAGGAAGGAAGGAAGAAAGGAAGGAAGGAAGAGGAAAAGTGATTCTCGAGTGAAAAATTAATCTTTTCCTCATTCAACTTTAAAAACTACTTTTAAACCTTTTTTTACAAGAGAGAGAGAGAAAGGGAGAAAGAGGTAGAAAGAAAGAGAGATAGAGAAAGAGAGGTAGAATATTTATTACAATCGGGTATATAATAATTACCGTATGGTTTAAACTTGAAAAGAAAAAAAGTCAGAAAAAAAAAAATTCATGACGTATCGCGTTTAACGTGGCAGCAGTAAAGTTATTCGGATATTTACAAAATTAAAAAAAAAAAAAATTTATTTTCTCAAGTGGAAAATTTTTTTTACGAATTGATCGATATATGAATCGCTTTGTCTGTTAACGCTGCGTAAATTCATTTTCCCCCCCTTCCCCGCTCTCTACTTTTACGCACCGCAAAATTACAAACGCGCGTAATTAATTTCTTAACGCCACGTTTTTTATTTATTTATTTATTCTCTTCAAAGAAAATCATATTTAAACTTAACAAATAGAATTATAAATTTTATTAAATTATTTATTAGAAATTTTGTAAATTTTTCGAAGCTTTTTCCTCTTCCTTCCAATTTTCCCCCACTCCCCATTCCTCCCCTTCTCATTCAACCAACCGTCAAAACCATCATTTCATTATCATCATCATCATTTTTTTTTTTTTTTTTAATGTTTTTTGTTTCGATAATTTAACGTCATAGAAAATACAAATAAAATTATGTGATAATCTTTTATGTTTATCGTGCGTAAATAATTATTACGATTCGATTTACGCTGCGTAAAAAATTTAACCGGAAATAATAATAATAATAATAATGATGATAATAAATTCACGATATAGAAAAATTTAAATAAAATTCTGATTAAAATTTTTATTATTCAATCTGAATTTTATTTATTTATTTATTTATTTATTTCGTCACGCATAATTTTTTTTTTCTTCTATTTAATGCATTTGCTATCGACACGAAATTAAATTTTGCTGATGTTAATAATTAAAAAAATTTGCTGGCGTTTAAAAAAAATTTTTTTTCACCGATAAGCATTCGTATCATTACCAAAAAAAAAAAGTTTTTATTACTTAAATTCGTCGTTTAATTTTACAAATTTATTTTATTAAACCGGAGCAAACATAACAAAAAAAATCATTATTATTATTATTGCTATCGTTTGGTAAAAGTTATAAATTATTGTTTGGTAAATGTAGCATAAATATTAGTTATGAAAAAAAAAAATGTTGTAAAAGTTTTTTTTTTGTTAAATTTTGCGCATTTAAAAAACTTTTTTTTTATTATAATATACAAAATCATTAAAATCATAAATTTTTTTATAACGAGAGGAAACATCGAAATCACTTTTTTATAGCAAAATGAAAAAAAAAAAATAATGAAAAGAAAATCGACAAAAAAAAGGAATTTTATTATTATTATACGAAAGAGTGAGAGGGGAAGAGAGAGAGAGAGAGAGAGAGAGAGAGAGAAAGAGAGAGAAATAAAAGTCATTCCGATGTATAAATTATAACGACATTAAAATTTTCGAATTTAAATAATAATAATGATGATGATGATGTCGAAGGATAAAATTAAGAGGAAGGGAAGATGATGATGATGACGATAAAAAAAAACTAGAATATATATAATGAAAAACTTAAAAAAAAAAAAAAAAAAGCAAAAGGTTTAAAAGCGCAAAAATTAATTTTCCAATCTGACTCCGCCAAAAAGTTTTTAATCCCAACCGGTAAATCAAAAAAAAAAAAAATTTTTTTTTTTTCCCCCAACAAAAAACTTTTTACCCGGGAATATATACCCAAAAAATTTTTAATTTAATTTTTGCGGTTATTTTCTCTCTTCGGAAACCTTACCAACATAAAAAAAAAAAAGAAAAAGTTTTAAATTGTTTTTAAACCTCCTCCCGAACGGGAAAAAAAAAAAAAGAAAGAAAATATTTCGTTATCAAATACTGATACTTAACTATAAAACTAAAAACAAAATGGCTTCCCGTCGTCTGTTTTTTTTTTTTTTTTTGCTTTCCCACATTTGTTTGCGGTAGTAAAAAAAAAAAAATCATTATAACTATATTTTCCAACTGTTGCTAATTTTTTTTTTTTTATAAACTTTTTGTAATTTAAAATATAAATTACATCGATCCACACTTTTAAATAACGAAATAAATTAAATTTTAAACCACTCCCACTCCCCCTCCCACTCTCACACTCATCCTTTAATCAAAACGTCAGATTGCTTTACAAAAAAAAAAAAAAAAATGGCGAAATTTAATATTAAAAAAAAAATTTATAAAGTAAAGTTTAATTCGATCTCACTAAAAAAAAAAAATCGAAAGAACAAACATAAAATAAATAATAATAACAAGATCATAGAGTATTTAAACGCGATGACGTCAAAAACGACGAAAACGACGACGACGACAACGACGACGGCGATGACGTCATTTCCTTTTTGCATTTCTTTTGATTATATAAAACATCACGAAATTAAAAAAAAAAAAAAAAAAAAAAGTTTTTCTGTTGTGAAATTTTTTTTCAAAAAAAAAAATCGTCGGGAAAAGTTGAAATCATTTTAATAATAATAATAATAATATTTTCTTTTTTTTTTATTAGCATATCGTAAAAGAAAAAAAAAATTAAAAAAGTTTTTATAAAAAATTTTTTTTTTTTTTTTTTTTTAAATAAAAAAAAAATTTTGTCTTCTGCTTGATTTTTAACGAATAAACTTTTTTTTCCGAACGTAATATTTCAACTTTTTTTTTTTTCATAAAAAAAAAAAAAAAAAAACAATTTGGAATTTATGTTAAAAGGTTAAAATGTTATTAATAATAATAATAATAATCGTTTTGTTGTTTGTTTTTTTTGTACGGGGGTAAGGGAAAGGAGGAAAAAGGAGGAAAAAAGGGAAAGGGAATTCGTTTTAACGGTAATAAAGGAATGAAAAAAAAAGGAAAAATGTTTAGACGACGGCGACGACATGAAATAACACAAAGAATATTGTTATAGAAAAGATAAAAAGAGAGAGAGAAAGAGAGAGAGAGAGAATGAATGAATGAATGAATGTTTTTATCTAAAACGTTTTATTCGTTTGAATAGAGAAAAAAAAACAAATTTTTTCTTATTCATCAATTATCGATGAATTATATATATGCGTATTTAAAAAAAACGAAAAAAAATTTTCCAGGAATAAATTTTTTTTTGTTAGTTTTCTCCATAAATTTTCCAGAAAAGGAAAAAAAAAAGAAAATTTTGTTTTTTTTTTACCTTTTCAAAATATAATTTATTATTTGAAAAAAATAAAAAAAAAAATTTAAATTTTTCACATAATTAAATTTTATTTAATGACACTTAATCGTGTCAGAAGAATTTTTGAATTTTCTTCTTCTTCTTTTTTTATTTTTTTTTTTATTTTTCTAGAAAAAAAAAAAAAAATTTCATTATTAAAGAACGAAAATCAATTTCTTTCCCTCTCTTCCATTCCTCTCCCTCCTTGCCCCTCCTCCGACGTTATTAATATCTTTAATTTTTATTCCTTTTCGGGTTTGTTCTTCCTCCCCCCCCTTTTTCCCGTTTTTTTTCGTTTCCATCATTATTTTCTTCCTTTTTTTTTCCTATCCTTTTACCTTTACTCGCCTCGCTATCCTTCCTCCCCCCTCTCCACCTCATTTTTTCTTTTTCGTTCCCGCAAAAAAATTTTTTCACGACGTCACGAAAAAATGAAAAAAAAAAAAAAAAGATTTCCAGTTGAAATTTTTTTTTTCTGTCTCTCTCTCTCTCTCTCTCTCTTCCCATTATCTTTTCTCTTTCTTTTCTTCGCCTGGCTCAAGCCTTTTAATTAATTATGAAGAAAAAGCAGCAGAAGACTTTTCTCTCTTTTTTTTTTAACTCAATAAAAATTTTTCTTTAAAAATTAAAAAAAAAAAAAAAAGAAAAAGAAAGTAAAATTAAATTTGGCAACACCGATAAACTTATTTAATAAATCCAAAATTCTGGAAAGAAAAATTTTTTAAATTTTTTTCTTTTTTTTTGAAAACTTTTTTTTTTTTTTAACTATTGATTTTATTTATTTGTTATCAACGTTATCATCATCATTATTATTATTATCATTATCAATATTATAATTACCAACGACG